CGCCGGTAGGGCTGGCTCGAGGCCACGGAGGCAGGTCTGAGCCACCCGGCGGAGCCTGGGACGGGAAAAATCATCAGTACCGCTTCTGTCTTAACCGTTAAGGGAGTTGGTTCATCGTGGGTTCGGGGACGTTGATTTGCATTTAATACAATATTACACCCGGATGTAAGGTGTCCTGAATCCTGGGGTTTTTGGTGCTCTCGCTTAAATTTTGCACCCAGAGGAGCGCCTCCCTCGCCTGCCTCTAGTCACAGCCGCATTGGCCATCCCGTCAGTTTGATCTCTTACGGGTGTTGTGGGAGTTTCAATCTAGGCGGAGCAGTTCCTCTCCTTGGTGCGCTGCTCTGCTGAGCTATATTTTTAGAAATCTTGGCCAGTAATCTAATCACAGGGATCATAGCTAACGCTTAGATAGCGCTTGCTGAGTGCCGGGCCTCCTTTACGCTTTTTGCATACATCGACGCATTTGATTCTCCCAGTAACCCGGTCAGTCTGGGGCCACAGGGCAGGAGGCTTGCAGCTGGTCGGGAGTCCAGGGTCTCGACCTCCTGGGCAGAATTCTGTGGTCCCAAGTTTAGTTCAGTGCTGTCCAGAAGAAGTATAATGTGAATCACAGATGTTATGATTTCCCCCCCTCAGCTTGATTGAGGTATGAGTGAGAAATAAAAGTTGTACGTTTAAGGTGTACAGCATAAATGTTTGATACAGGTGTACATTGTGAAATAATGACTATAATCAAGCTAATTAACCTGTCAGTCACCTCAGTTGCATTTTGTGTGTGTCACGTGAGAACACTTGAGACCCCTCATAGCACACTTCAAGTGTACAATACATTACTAACTATAGTCACAGTGCTGTACCTTAGGTCTTGAGAACTTAACTCCTCTTATAACTGGAAGTTTGTGTCCTTTGATCAGTATCTCCCCTTTTCATCCCCTCCTTTCTGCTCTGTTATTGTGAGTTTTGCTTTGTTTGTTTGTTAAGAGTTCACATGTAAGTGAGCTCACGCAACATTTGTCTTTCTGTGCCTGGTTTATTTCATTCAGCATAATGTCCTCCATGTTCATCCATGTTATTACAAATGGCAGGATTTCACATTTCTTCATTCATCTGTCCAAGGACACTTAGACTAGTAACCATCTCCTGGTTACCATAAATAATGCTGCAGTGCACATAGGAGGGCAGATACCACTTTGAGATAGTGATTTCATTTCATCTGGCTCTATACCAAGAAGTGGGATTGTGGGATCATATGATAATTCCATTTTTCCTGTTTTGAGGACCCTCTATGCTGTTTTCCATAATGGCTGCACCAATTTACATTCCCACCAACAGTGGACTGGTATCCGCCTTTCTCCATATACTTGCCAGCACTTATTATCTTCTGACTTTCTGGTAATAGCCATCCTCACAGGTGCGAGGTGATATCTCATTGTGATTTTGATTTACATTTTCTCGATGATTAGTGATGTTGAGCATCTTTTCATAGACCTGTTGGCTATTTGTATGTCTTCTTTGGAAAAATGTCTATCTTGGGTGTTTGCCCAATTTTTAATTGAGTTGTTTTTTTTGCTATTGAGTTGTATGAGTTCCTTACATATTTTGGATATTAATCCCTTAACAGATACATCATTTGCAAATATTTTCTTTCATTCTGTAGGTTACTTTTTCATTTTATTGTTTCCTTTGTCAGAAAAATTAAAAATTTCCAGTAGCCACATTAAAAAAAGTAATGTGAAATTAATTTAAATGATAAATTTATTTTAAGCCAATATGTTCAAAATAGTAACATTTCAATATGTATTCAATGTAAAGGTTGTTGAGATACTGTAAGAGAAAAAGGACAAATCTGACTCCATACTAGATCTGTTCCTTTAGCTTTAACCCAGTGCTCTGTTTACTGGGCTGGTTTTCCACCTTTTGTAAAAGAATGTTGCCTAAAGCCTGAAGTATACAGGACAGCCTATTGTCAAGGCTCTGACCTTTAGGGTATTAACCCTTTTGCATTCATAGAAAGATGAAAAGTTGCAGAATAGAAAGTAACATTTGTTTTGTTGGAGGTTTACAGGGACACCGTGGCCTGACCCACATGGACAGCTGCAAGAACAAAGGATTCCAACAGGGAGAAGTTTGCAAGAAAGTCACCTCCTCCCCTTTTTCATAGTACATTAGTTGGCCATCTTCTCTGTCCGCCCACTTTCTGAATAAAATTGCTATTTCTTGCCCCAGCATCTCATCTTCTGATTTATTGGCCTGTCCTTGGGTGAGCAGAACGAATTTGTACTTGGTAACAATATTTTACATTCTTTTTTCCACATTAGGTCTTTGAAATGTGTCTATTTTACACTTACAGCACATCTCAATTTACATGCTAACTTTTTTTTTTTTTAAATGGAGGTACTGGGGATTGAACCCAGGATCTCATGCATGCTAAGCACACGCTCTACCACTGAGCTATACCCTACCCACTACATGCTAACTTTTCATTAGAGATACTTGATCTGTCTTTAAGAGTATTTTTCTTTTCGGAAAGAGGTAATTAGGTTTACATATTTATTTATTTATTTTTAATGGAGGTACTGGGGATTGAACCCAGGACCTCATGCATGCTAGGCATGTGCATGCACTCTACCACTTGAGCTATACCCTCCCATGATCTGTCTTAAGATTTAATAACATTTACAGTTGAAAAAAATAGATTTACATATCAAGTTATTCTAAACATACTTTAAAAATTTCCAGTAACTGAATGCAGTACCAAAATTTCATTTTCCTTTAAGTCAAGGACAAAACCAGTTCATCTTTTTAGAAGAAATGATTTGACTTTGAAGCAAAAGCGTATCAGTTTCAAAATTACGTCTTTCCAAGTTAAGTAATTCACTAACTCTTGTTTTCAACTCAGTGTTATTAACATCGAATTCAAAGAGGTATGACATAATTTGAAAAGCATTTCTAAACTGACCGATATCACAAAGCATTCTTCAAATTTTTCTTCAAGGCATTCTTCAAGTTTTTGCCACCAATTACATAACAGCCAGTGACAATGAAAATCTCTGACATATTGACTCATGTTAGAAGAATGCATAAAATCATTATTATTGATTTGTATTATGAAGTTCTGATTTCAACATAAATTCATATACTTGGCCAGTTGGGTTACAAATAGCTTTTCCTTCCTTCTGACTATTCAAATTTAGCTCAGTCAGATACAGTACGTATTAGTGAGAAATAAACGTACAGATTGCTCTTGTTGGCTCTTTGATTATTGAATATTCAACAAACATTCCTTGTGTTTCAGGGAAATCTTGAATTGCAATTGACACTACAGTAATTCTTTGTAAAATTTCCAAGACTCAGCCAACGAACGCTGGCAAAGGCATATGATCGTTAAATGCATTGCCTTCTATTTCCTTCAACGGTTCCATGAAGTAGTGATGACTTCTATCCTTTGCACATACATCCTGAGTGATTTTAACAAATGTATCTATTCATGATGCTTTTCATAAAGTCTGCTATAAAAACTAAACACAAATTTTTAAAAGCTATACCAGAGAGTGGAATAAAGCAATAAAGGAAATATCCATCTCTGGTTTTATAATCAAATTAAATCTGGAGTCCTGACCTAACGTAGGTGGAACAGTGTTGTTGGTCGGGACAAAAACGAATTTTTTTTACATTTAGCTGAAATTCTTCTTTGATAAACGTAAAAGGTTTAAAGGATCTATGCCATAAATTTGATATTTTAGCTCATGAATTGGCAACATTTCTTCATAGGTCTGGATGTCCTTTGAGACAAAAGGTATTCAAAATATTAACTGGGCAGGGGCTCATATTACATGACTCAACTAAAGCTGAAGAGAGGTACTTGCAGACTTTCAAGTTTTGAATCCATTCATTTTCTCTTTTGTTGGAAAGGCCTTGTATTCCGTGGGCAATTGTTTTGAGGCTCAATTGAAAAAGCTTTCACTTTTTGTATCTTTTTTTACAGCATTTTCCTCATAATTTTCTAACAAATTTCCATAACTGAAATAATTTTTTGTCATCTTTCCATCCAAATTGTTTTTCTTTTTATTGTGAGAATCCAGCTGTTTTAAAGCTGGCCAAAGTTACAAACTCAAATTCTGTTAAAAATCATTACTGTTTGTTTTGGATATTTATTTCTGATTTGGGGCAATGAATTTTATAATTTTTTTCCACTGAGAGCAAACATTTTTAAAATCAAATTCACTCTGTAGTGAAATTTGAAAATTTCTCTTAATATTGTTCACTTTATTAAATTTTTTTCACATACCCAACGAATAGCTCTACCTAAACATTATATCCTTTAGATGAATTGGTTCTTTTGTTGTTACAAAATGACCACTTCTGTACCTGGCGATATTCTTTGCTCTGAAATAGATTTT